AACATGAGGATTTTTTTAGATAAACCATAAGAAAGAGGTTAAAACTAACCTTACGTGCCCTTGGAAAGTGTCATAAGGGATTTGAATCCGTCGTGTCTTCGGCTCGGTTGGTTTTCGTCGCCGCGTTCTTCTGCTCTCGAGCCCCAGGAAGATGAGGAATGCTCCGTAGAGCAGCAGCTGGGGGAGGAAGAGCAGGAGGCGGGGTTTCGGAGATCACAGGGCGGCGCTGATTGGACAGATCCCCTGCCGATCAAACCTCCGCCTCCGTCACTCACGGGGCAGCGAATGTGAAGCGGCTGGTTACTGATGCTGCGTTCAGTGACGGCTCATAACAATCAGTGATAAGATCGTAGGACAACGTGAGTGTTGAAATTGGTTATGTCTTATGTGATCGGTGTCCGTGTTAAATCCTGATTTTGATAAAAAATACACATAAAAAAACACAAAAACTCAAAGAAATGTAATTTATATCCGTACGACTACAAAAAATATTTTGGTTGACAAAGGTGGGATAACTATTTATATTCTTTACTTACCCTACTAATTCCACAGTGTAAAATGTGTCTCTACTTACTTAAGTATAAGTCACATATTATCTAATTGTACTTAAAGTGTCAAAAGCTAAGCTTATGAAGAACCTTGAATGTTAGCCTTACCTGATACATACTGATAATGGGTGGAATAATTGTAAAGAACATTTCAATGTCATATGATTTTAATAACTTTTTGGAGTGAAGAACCAAATATGTTGTATTGCATCACAGATAAGAAACACATCATCTGTGAACATCCTTTCAGGCTTTCAAATCACTAGAAAGAATATTCCCGAGTATCGTGAATAGAAACACACATAACGATCAATTCGGTTTTTTATTAGGATCCTCAATAAATTATAAAAACGTGTAGGGCTACATATCAGCGTTGGAAATATCTAGAAAGCCTAGAAAGTTGCAGTGTGTACCTGAACTCAGCATTTTAAAGGGACCAGTGAGTCAGAAGGGAGGAAGGGGGGCGGGGGGGGGGGGGGGGTCTACAGGAAAGATGGGGGAGGGCAAACACCAAATAAGGAGACTCTTCATTCACGATTTTCAGCCACTTCCTCCTGAAGCCCTCGCAGCATTTCTACTTCTTCTTTCCTCTTCTTCTTCTTCTGAACAGAAAGTAAATATCCAACATGAATACATTATTATATTAAGTATTTCCTGACCTTTATGTTGTGGTGATTTGGAGACATATGCATGTTAATTAAAATCCATCAAAAACACATAATGAATTCTAATGTGCCTTTGAGATCTTTCAATAGGTGTCAAACACAAAACTACAAAGTCCAGTGAGTAAGTCATGACCATTAAGCATGTTAGGGTTAGTTAATTAGAGGTTTGTCCCTAAAAACATGAACAAATAATTGCAAGTTGCGTTAAGGTAGCTAATTTAAAGTAGTTTAAATAGTTAGGTGGTATATTTTGTTATTAAGTCCAATTAAAATGTTTTCCTTTGTGAACAATGTTGTATTTACATATTACAAGTTAATAAGCCCCTGAAGGCTAAAACAAGCACTTATTAACTGTATACTCAACATTTTTAACGGCAATGTAGTCGACTGAGAGATAACACATGTAATAAAAAGTTCAGTATGTTATATTGAAGTAGAATAGCATTTCTGTAACTGCACCGATTTTCTGCATCACATTTAATGTTCTCCGTGTTGCTGCTTTTTTAAGACACAATAGTCTCTTTCTCTAATGACTCGTTCTTTCCTCGGGCTGCTTTTTTGCTGAGTCACCGAGAGTCCATTAATCTTTAACTATGGGCAAACGAAGGCTAGGCAGCAGGCCAACATGCACAGTGAGCGAGGATTTTATGAACAGCTACTTTTGGGCAGTTTAAGACAAGGCTTTGGGCATGTTCAAGACTGTGAATAATCTCTATTCAGCCGAATAGAAGCAGCATTCATCATTAATAAACAAAAAATCCACTATGCACAGGAGTTATGTTCTGTTGAATCAAACACTCTCTGCATATCTCATACAGAATCTCACGTCATCATGTGAGAGCACGTGTGGGCAAAGGTCCTTCTGCAGCCAAACTGCACCAGAGTTACATCGAATTCACTTTCATTTAGAAAAATCATCCATAAGAAACCTCAGCAGTTACTGTAGCAGTGCACAATACACCTTCATCACTTACCTCTATCAATTCAGTCCTTTTTCAGGCAGATGTAGTGAAATAATTCCAATATTCTCTAAATCAAGCTTCTCAAATGATAGGACTTCCCGTGCTCAATGGGATGGTTGATGTTAACTAAATATTTTTGGCAACTTGGGTTTTTGTTTGAACAAAGCAAGGCATCTAAAGAAATACTGTTTAGCAAGGCAAGGCAAGTTTATTTATATAGCACCTTTCAACACAATGTAATTCAAAGTGCTTTGCAAAAAGAAAAGACATTAAGAAAATGGCATTTAAAAACAGTCATTAAAAAGCAAGGATAATAAAATAAACATTAAAAGAAAAAATACATGAATACAAGTTTACAGTGCAGTTTAAGATGTGAATAGTTCAATTAAAAGCAGCGGCAAAAAGAAAAGTCTTCAGCCTGGATTTCAAAGTAAGAGTTGCAGTGGACCGTGAGAAGTCATTATAGCAATTGTTTGACCTTTCATGGGCTGAACGGTTAACAGGTCATTGTAAAATATCTGTAGATTAATCAAGTATAAAAATAGGCAGTAATTGTAGCTGTATTTCTGAAGGCAGATTTCTTTAAAAAAGTATGGTTGAAGCATTGAAAGTTTGGTCCCAATTCTCGTAATATATTTCCTGATTTTAATTATTTTGTATAAAGACAACTCTAAATACTGACGCATGTTTTGCCTTTTCATGGTTGCAGTGGCCTTTTTGTTCAGAAAAATGTTGTACAATTTCCAGCCTTGCAACTTTCCATTTACTCTAACTCGTTTTCAAAAAGTGGCCTCGTCACATAAATATCACTATGAATGAAAAGTAACAATAGTGCTCCTGCATCATACAGGATATTTTGTATGAAAATGTGTTCACAAAAGTAAAAAATGCTGTAAAAGCAAACAAAATGTTGTCTTATAAATCAGGTGTCCACCTACTGCAAATAAAATAATAAAAAGTACGGTTAAAAAACAAAATCTAGGCGATACATCTACCTATAACACATTTGTCTTTATTTAAAAATGTATTGAAACGTATCACTGTTATGTGCAATACATACATTTTTTTTAAACTTTTGTATAATATTATTTTCAGACTATGCATGTCTACCCATTTGTCTTTATTTTTGTATTCTATTACCAATGTGTGCTTACTCTTTATTGTTTGCCGTTTATCTGCTATGTCACTTTTACTCTTATTTGTTGTGCTTAATTTTTACTGCAGTGAGAGTTAATACTAATAATAATAATAAATTCGATTTGTAAAGCGCCTTTCATTGCTAACAGCAATCCCAAGGTGCTACAGGAGTCATAATAAAAACAAACAAAAGTTTAATTAAAGGCTTTTTTTTAAAAGAAAGGTTTTTAGGCCTTTCTTGAAGGCGTCAGTGGTCTGTGGAGTCCTCAGGTGGTCTGTGGAGTCCTCAGTTGGTCTGTGGAGTCCTCAGGTGGTCTGTGGAGTCCTCAGTTGGTCTGTGGAGTCCTCAGGTGGTCTGTGGAGTCCTCAGTTGGTCTGTGGAGTCCTCAGTTGGTCTGTGGAGTCCTCAGGTGGTCTGGGAGGGAATTCCACAGGTGAGGAGCAGCTGCACAGAAAGCCCGATCCCCCATTGTGCGGAGTTTGGTCCTCGGGGGGCGAAGCCGATGGTTGGTTGTGGAGCGGAGGTTGCGTGTGGAGGTTTGAGATGTGAGAAGTTCCTTCAGGTATGGAGGAGCGTTCCCGTGGATGCATTGATGGGTCAGTAGTGCGATCTTGTATTTGATCCTGAATGAGACAGGAAGCCAGTTGAGGGAATGAAGAACGGGTGTGATGTGGTTGTATTTTCTCACACTCATCAGGATCCTAGCGGCACTGTTCTGTACGTATTGGAGCTTCTGAAGGCTCCCGCTAGAAGTCCCGGTGAGGAGAGCGTTGCAGTAATCGAGCCTTGAGGAGACGAAGGCATGGATCATTACATGTCACTTGTTAGACGCTTTTATCCAAAGCGACTTACATTCATTCAGTACTGTGGGCAATCCCCACAGGAGCAATTTGGGGTGAAGTGTCTTGCCCAGGGACACAACGACATGCTGACTGCAGTGGGACTCGAACTTGCTATCCCCTGATTCAAAGTTCAGCGCACTATCTCACTGAGCCACAGCCCCCCCCACCAGTTGTTCAGCATCTGACAGGGAGAGTGTGGGACGGAGTTTTGCAATGTTCCTGAGGTGGTAGAAGGAGGTTTTGCACAGGTATTTGATGTGGGTGTCAAAGGTCAGATGTCTTTCAAATCTTACACCCAGGTTGGTAACTGCTGTGGAGAGGGGTATGTTTTGGCCAGAAAAGGTAATGTGGGTTATGGGGGATGGCGGGACCTGGTTTGGTGTGCCAACTAAAATAGCTTGTTTTGGAGCTATTAAGCTGCAGGAAGTTTTGTTGCATCCAAGCCTTTATCTTGAAGAGTTGCCAAAGAAATGTCGTTGTACTTTGTATGATGACAATAAAGATATATTCTATTCTGTAACGTGATACATTTCCCCCTGCGGGAGTCATTAAGGACTGCTAGGAATCCCCATTCTGTATTTTTATTTAAAAAAAATGTACCAGTTATCTAACTACGTCTATTTTATGTAACAGTAAGTGAACACAGTTACCTTTTTTTCTGTATCCTGATTACATAATCTCTTTACATACAATCTGTTACCCCCCCAGCCTGCTGAGTGTCTTGACGAGCCTTATCTTTCATGCTCACCCAAAAGCCAATAGGTCAAACAAACAAGTCTTTTAAAAGCAGTAAGAAAACAAGATAAAATATGCTTAATACTAAAATGATTGATCCAGTTCACACATTTAATAGTTGCACCTTTTATTATAAAAAATATTTACAAAGATGCTACAATGTTTTTCCTTAATATAAAAAAATGCATACATTTTACAACGGTAATTAGTCTTTGAAGTTCTAGCTCCCATTCAGACCAGAGTGACATCCTTCAGGAGTGTTGTGGTAAGGTAATAAGCGTGTCGTAATACTGTATTTTTGTCAATACATTTAGTTTGCCTGAGTTAAATCTCTTCATCACGATGATAATGAACAATTTTTTGAAAAATGCATTTGATTTTTCCACATCTTTAGGAGAAAAGGCAACTGTTTGCATAAAAGAATTAAAGGACATTGAGTCGTATACAATCATTTTGAAACACGTATGACAGAGCTGCATAGTGATTTGAATAGTAACCCGGTTATTATTATTACTACTAATAATAATAATAAAAAATGTGAGTAACAAATAGGTACTGCATTCAAAACGGAGGGAAAATTTGGATAAATATAATTTCATCGGGCCTCGTGGTTGAATTGATACGTCAATATGGCATGTCGGTACCTAGATATAATAAATACAATAAATAAAACAATAAATTAGGTTGAGTTGACAAACAGAACTTTTCATTTGTTGTTCTAACAAATTAGAGAAAGAAATATGGCTTCTTGATGCAGTTATCACCCCGGGGTTTTCTCCAAAAATGCTTCTGGAAAAAAAGCTGTTGTTATTATTGTTATTAGATCTGTATGTAAAGCAGGGCAGGAAAATGACTTACGTTTTACCACTGGCTACTGTTAACTTAACAGAAACAGTCAAATGTTATCCAGCATTTGGTTGGTGTCCGGCGATTATTTCCCTGCCGTGCGTAAAGCTTTTGTGAAAATGAAAGAACAGCGCCTTGAAAAAGTGTTTCGATGCCAGTCCTGAAACCTGTTACAGTCGACTTGTTTTTACCAAACCATGGGAAGACACTGTCTCGAGTCTGGCTACATTAAAATCTTAAAAACCGCTTGGGAGGGAAAAATAATAATTAATATCAAATGATACTTGCAAAATCCCCCAGCTGTATAATGCAAAAAATATATTTCTATATACACATACGTACATATACATATATTCCATTCATAATTGCTCAAATCTTTAGGAAAATATGCATTGATTCATAGATTTGGATTTACAATTTGTTCTGTTTCTGATGCATGTAGTGTGATGAGTTGTTCCTCAGTCCATGATACAATAAATAGAAAATGGACAGAATGGCAGAGAATACGACCAGAAGGAGCTAGTACAACAGAATGTATGACAGACGTAAACATGGAAAGTACGTAAATAAGAATGCATCATGGTATAGGTAATTATCTTCGCCCTCTCTCACACGTATTGTCAAGTTTTGGATTTCATCAACAAAGTAGGAAACTAACCGCTTCACCCACAGACCAACGTGGCTTGTGAATCCCAAAATTCATTCATTTCTGATCTCTACTTTAACTGCCAATTTCTGAATAAAAGAGGAGGGTCCCAACAGCAGCTGCCGACTTGCCTAAGTGGCCGTTAGAAGACTAAATACACCTCTAACAGCCGATCCCAAAATCTACTTGGCTTGCTGTTAATTCCCTACCTTGTCCCCAAAACCTCTAACAATCTCCATGTGTAACAATACCACATACAGAACATGCACATGTGTACTGTGCATAGTCTGGAAAGAGTCTGAGGGCTCTGACAGGCCAGAGGAATGTTTTTAGTTTCAGGATCCCACAATGATCTCCATGATGTGGTCCAGTTCGTTCAGGTCTGACCTGCAGCTCGAGCTGGAGCTGAGGGCTGTGGGCCCGTGAGAGGAAAGGCTCTCCAGCAGATCGTAAGGCCCCATCTTAGGAGCACTCTGCATGCCTGTCAGCACCGTGTCAAGGTCGTAGTAGGACGGGTCCACGTCTGAAAACAGTTCCTCGAGGGCAGGGTCAGGGGGCGGCGCTGGGTGTTTGATCTCAAAAGTCCCAAAAACCTGCTCCCCTGTCCTGGTGTCTGGGCTCAGGTGGTCCCGGTCCCCCTCTTCACTCTCAGACGCACACTCCTCGCTGTCGTCCTCTTCATCCTCCTCGCACTCGCCATCTTCTTCGTCCTCCTCCCAGCAGGGTCCCATGCCAAAGGGACCTGCGAGGTACGAGGCCGAGGACAGTTGGGGGGAGACGGGCGACAAAGTGGACATGGTGACCTCTGTCTCCACGTCTCCCTCCATCACCACCTCCTCAGCGTGGTAGCCTTCCTCCAGGCCGGCCCCTGAGCAGGGCTTCGGGCTTTGCCCCGCCGGGTCCGTCTGCCGGCACAGCACCTCTGTGGCCACCAGGCGGTCTGCGGGACACTGGGCGGCTGCCAGCGCCTGGGTCATTATCTGCCAGGTGCCGTCCTGGGTCATCTCCTCCTGGATCTGCCGCACTGTGTTGGCTATGAGCACCGAGCGGCATAGGTTGGGCTCGACCAGCATGTGGCAGAGCTGCAGCTTGATCAGCGACATGTCAAGCAGCGACTGCCGCTGTAGGCTGTATGCCGACGTCAGCGTCCGGGCCGCCACAGATGGAGTCACCGGGACCTGGTCCTCCTCGGAGACCGGTTCCTCTCCGGGGTCTGAGAACTTGCGCTTGGTGCCCTTCGGGAACATGTTGTCTCTCTGTGGTGATGGCGGGGAGAAAGAAAAAAAGTCAGACATTTGACACTTATCTTAGAATCAGTAAATGTATCACACTTACAACACACAAAATGCCTACTGTTCACTAGCTAAGATTGTTGTGAAAAAAGTAAGTGCCATGTAATTAATTATGTAAATGTGTGATGTAATAAGGCTATGTGGTGTTTTATCTGTGTATGGTCATGAGGGAGCTACAAGCTGCTCAACAGCAGCTGTGACGTTATAAATAAACTACAGGTTTAAACCCTCAATGGACTACAGTAAACAGTAAATGTTTGTTGTAGTTTTTTTCTTAAAGTTTGCTATACCTTTCCTGTTGAGAGGCACAGGCAATAGAAATGCAGCTCGGTCCCGGCTGCAACGCTTCAAGTACTTTTGTACGAGTGACAAGCAGCTTTTGTTCAGCACCATTTCTGCCCATTTTAGGCCAGTCTGAGGCAAGACTCCTGCTGGGCGGAACAACCACACTTTTAACAGACCACTGAGCCACCGAAAATAGCATGGTTACCAACTAAATGCAAACGCTGCATCAAAGTAAGCACAGACTAGACAGACCTTTGTCAGAAAACAAACACAGCACTCAAGTTACATGATCAGTGCACTTATATTCTTTCCCACTGCCACCTGTGAGCAAGAAAATATCCTAATCAATAGGTGCTTTTAAGGGGGTAAAAGTGATAAGAATATGACAAAAAATAGCATTGACAATATCACAATACAATACACCACCATGAACCACTAGTATTTACAAGGGATAACAGGTTTCCGGGTCTACACACGCCACGATTCAAAAACTAGTAGAACAAGATTTTCACTTTCTCTTCACTGAAGGAGGGGAAGAAGAGTAGAGTCAACTTCCTTATTACACACCGTTTGGCACACAGTTGTCTTACAGGAATAAAACAACACTCCTGCCAACATTGAAGGCCCTCTGACTCCCCAAAAATAATCGTAAGAAGGAGACTGAGGTCTGAACAGTTGCCTGTGGCATTTAATTTTCCAGACAGAAAAATAATGTGCAGTGTCCAGCTGTGTCTCCTGTGTAAAAAACCTGCCAGTGTTGGCAGGGCATTTTGGGTGAATGATCCACCTAATTTAAACTTTGTGATACATTTCTTTAAAAATAATCACAAAAAAGTAAAACCAGGGGTACAATGACAATGGTATTGATACATGCTTGACTGTAACAGCATAGCAATAGGGTTTACAGAGTAAAAAGCAAACAGCAAAGAGTTGTTAGCAATTTTACAAAAGAAGCCCCACATTTCTGCTGGAAACCAAAATCAAGCTAATGGAAAACACTGCTGTTATTGTCACAATTCATCTCCAACAAAGCTGAATTTGTTTTCCTTTAAATGTTCATCTTAAAATACCAGGCAAAACCAGGACCCTATAATCAGTGCAAATTACATACCATCACCAAATTAACACACTGTAAGACTGCAGGAGTGTTGTGCAAGATTTTGAAGCCAAAAACTAGAAAGACAAAAACACAATTGTAACATTTTACATTTAATCAACATATAGTCAAACAAATTTCTTATTTGGGGTTGATTGTAAACTCTTCGCTCCTTCTCTCCAGCCTTTAATGTGGGAATAACTTTGCTTCTTTACACACATGACAACCTGACATGAAATGAGAAAGAAAGATTAAGTTACAGCTACTGTCTTCCCCTGATTGATCACATGAATGATATAACCCTTACCAAAAAAAGAAGTAGATCTAACATACACTGAATTGTTTGGGAGCCTTCACTTTTTTTGAGTCCTCGCTTGCACAGGGAATAACATTTCCTGACATTGGACAGAATAGGGAAAAAGTCATTTATGAAAGTGCCCGTAGATCTAAAATACAAAAAGGGTAGGAAAAGAATTATGGAGAAATGTTTGCTTCTTGTGTAGTGCATTTGTGGCTGGTCCCTGTTAAACAAGACACACTATAGAGCAATATCTCTCGGAAGAAAAAACAACAACAACAACAACGTGTAAAAGTTCAATTGGATAAAACCAGGAAGACCTACAACCTGAGAGAAAGCACACTGCAAATTGAAGAAACAACAGTTTGGGACATGTTTGGGACATGACATTTACAGGTATATAGAAAAAGGGTGGTTTTGAACACCATATGGTTCAGCATTTTTGGGTCAAATTTCAAGATAATATGTGTTGTATAAATCAGAGTTTAAATGACTTGGGTCTATAACTTGATCATCCTTATGTCGCACCTGTAGCAGACAAACTCACATCATACAACTGATGCAAAAACATAACACCTACAGAATGTAAATGAACCAAAAATGATATCTTGATTACCCTAAAATATCAGACATATACACTACAACTATCTGTATCTATTATATTTTCAATATATTCAGAGATTTTCTGACAAATTTGACATGAAAAACCACTATAATACAATAACACAAAATGCAATAACTTTACACCAAAGACACCCTAAAAGAATCATGTTCTTATAGGCACCTATCATTTCAAATGCTGCAAGTATAACCCAAACATATATTGATTATTAGGACATAATTTGTCTGCCAGAGATGCTTATTGCAGCGGTCAAGATCCATACCACTTCCTGCACAACCAATAGTTTAAACTTACACATTCCTGTCATGTTATGTAAATGTACTCACACAGTTTCAACAAGATAAAACAAGGAAATGCTGACACATGTGATGTTCAAATAAACTTGTCTAGCAGGAAATGAGTAATCAAATGTAAAAAAACAAAAATATTACGCAAATAATATTGTAGTCACAAAACTTGTATTAGACAATTGTATATATGCAACACAGCACTACTATACACAGTGTTAGCTATAGAAAGATGACTACTAAACCACTGGTGTAAAGTAACTAATTTGTATTCTGTACTGTACTTAAATACAATTGTACTTGTCTATCTTTTACTTTGTACTCCTACCCCACGACAATTCAGATGTAAATATTGTAGTTTTACTCTGCTACAAACATTTAATTTCTTTAGTAATTTAGCAGATTGTGATAAATAATGTGAAATATAAACAACCCTAAAATAAGACTTTAGTTACACCTTGAGTAACATTCACAAGCTACCCTGCAGCATACAGGTTTAAATTAAAACTAGCTGCACCTTTACATGTAATAATAATTATAATCAAAACATATAATATATATTATTCTGAAATCTGTATAATGAGTACTTGTACTGTTGGTACGTTAAGTATATTTTAATGCTAATACTTTTCTACTTGAGTAACGTTTTGAATGCAGGACTTTGAATTGTAACAGAGTATTCCTAAAATCTGGTAGTGCAACTTTGTACTTCTTCCACCTCTGTATTAAACTGAGCCCTTGTATTATGCTAGGAGCCAAACAGAATGCAGCCTTGCTTTACGTCAATGGCTGCTAGCATGACCCATCCCCCACTGCACACCGAAACCCCTCCACTTTCACAGCCTACCGTACTAAACGTGTAAATAAACTCACAACACAGCGGCATTGTATTTTTCACATTTCCCTGTGAATAACACTAATTAAGCGTTATGAGCCGGTGTTGTGGAGCTTGCAGAGCGGCTGTAGAGAGCGGCTCGGAGCTGCTGGCCGTGACTGCCGCATGCTTTGTCTTTTCAGCATCAGAGCTACCGAGCGACAATGAGGCCATTTTGCGCTAGTAGCTAACAGCTAGCCGGCTACTAGCTAAGCTACGGCTCTGACTTTATGAGCTAAGCTAACTGTGCTAATATGTTCAGTGAAACAGTAGAAAAATGAAAACAGTTGGTCTCAATATAACCTTCTTTATGTATTGCTTGTACAACATAAATGCTAGCAAGTTCGGCTAATTAGCCTACAGCGCCCACCCACACACATCCTCCGCGGTCCTTCCTCCTTTTTCTAGCCAAAAACAAGAGTTTTTTTTACCGCGGCTGGGCTGTTTAAGTTCCCCCGGAAAAAAAACAAAAAAACACGGTCTCGCCGGGTAACAACGGCTACTAACGGCCCGGTACTCACCTCGTGTTTGTGTTATTTTATTCCCGTCTCGGTCATAGGATCGACGGCAGGGAAAGCGGAGATCAGGTTCAGATGAGATCATTCATGCCACGGCTTCAAAAACTGAACTACCTCTGTCCTGCTGCTGCTGCTGCGGAGCAAGGGAGGGAAGGAAGGGACGGGAGGGGGAGGGGAGCCGACAAAAGCCAGCCATATGCCTGGGATTCCTCTCTAATGATTTCTCCCTGCTCTTTCTCCCTCTCCAGACGCTTTAATTTGACTAACAAGTGAAAGCCTGCAGTTTGCACCCGAGAACGAGAAATTAAACATCTATAAGTTGTGCTGGGTGTTAGTGAAGAATGTGCATTAATTTGATAAACATGATGTACCTATTTGTTTTATATATAAAAGAAAAACAAACAACTATTTAGTGGTTTAGGATTTATTCAGGAGATTCACACATTACGAATACTTTCAGTGCACAGTCGTAAGTACGACTTATTTTGGAAGAACAACTAACTATGTTTATATTTTAGCTATTACATTTGGAATTATTTTGAATATTATACATACAAATATTACCCAGTGATGAATGTGCATTCATTTAACATTTGCTCGGTTTTTTTATATACAAAAGAAAAACAAAGAAACAACTAGTTAGTGGTGGAGGAATAATTCAGAATATTCACAGATTATGAATACATTTAGATTTAGTACAAACTCGTGGAAAGTAGTATAGTAGGTTACAGACACAGTACATGTTTATTTTTGAGTTATTACATTTTGAATATTCACATATTATAAATACAAATAGTACCAAGTGGTGGAAAGTAACTAAGTACACAAAATACCTATTTTTGAGTAAGTTCATTGTTCATAATAATCACAAATTACAAATACAAAAGTACCCAGGGGTGGAAAGAAACTAGGTAGACTATTTTGTGTATTTCCTTAGGAATTATTCACAATATGATTAAATTACGATTTATAAATACAGGTAGTACCTAGTGTAGTTTGGCATATTTTAAGTGAACATATCTGCATTTGTCTTGTTGTTCTGAGTTTGTATCTTTATTGTTTATTACATGTACGGTATTGTAAATTGCTTTGGATAAAGCGTCAGCTAAATGTAATGTAGTTTAGTTTTGGAAAGTAATTAAAGCAGGCTGCAGACTCATTTCAAAGTATTTTCCTTAGGATAGTGCCAATCCAATACTGAGTATTGGTAACCAATTCCTGTAATTGCATTACATTTCACTTGTTAGATGCTTTTATCCAAAGTGACTTACATACATTCAGTACTGTGGGCAATCCCCACAGGAGCAATTTGGGGTGAAGTGTCTTGCCCAGGGACACAACAACATGCTGATTGCAGTGGGACTCGAACTTGCTACCCCCTGATTCGAAGTTCAGCGCACTACCCACTGATCCCCCACTGTAATGTGTTTAAAGTATTGGCATCAAATTATATTTAAATCTCAAAAATAAAAGTATGTGTTATGAGGGAAGCTGTGGCTCAGTGGGATTGTGCGCTGAATTTAGTGCGCTGAACTTTGAATCAGGTGATAGCAAGTTCGAGTCCCACTGCAGTCAGCATGTCGTTGTGTCCCTCGGCAAGACACTTCACCCCAAATTGCTCCTGTGGGGATTGTCCACAGTACTGAATGTATGTAAGTCGCTTTGGATAAAAGCGTCTAACAAGTGACATGTAATGTTATGATTAAGGACCCTTTTCAAAATCATATATATTACATTACTGCAGATGATTATTGATGCATTAATGTGTCTATCACAGCTGGTAAAAGTGGAGCTTGCTTAAATTACTTGTAAACTGCGTCTGGATATTCTAACCTATAGTTATATCTCTATAATCTGCTATATCTATATAGATCTATATATCTATCTAATCATATTTTGAATTAGATCATCTGAATCTGAAAAGTAACTAAAGTTTTCAAATAATTGTTGTCATGTAAAAAGTGCAATATTGGCTTTCAAAATGTAGTGAGGTATAAGTCTAAGGTAGCATAAAATGAAATTACTCAGATAAAGAGTACCTCAAAATTGTACTTAATTAATGAACTTGAGTAAATGTTCTTTACTATTTTGATCCATTATTTTACATACTTTGTCATAAAGCATTATTTTGAGTTGTGCCCAGTTTCATCAAAGAGCTATTTCCCCAGAAAACGTATCATACAGTCTCCTTTAGGTACAACCAATTTTCCAATGTTTCAGAAAAAACCCTCCCTTACTGACATCCCACTTGTGACCCCTTTCAACAAAATACAGATAACAAGATTCAAGATTCAAAGGTTTTATTGTCATATGCACAAAGCTACAGTGTAGAAATGGCAATGAAATTCTTCTGACCTGAGCTCCTGCTCCTCCAACAACGCAACATATATAATAAAATACAAAAATACAAAATAAAAAGTAGTGCAAAAGATATGTCCAAAGATATGCAGTGATGCGTACCGCAGTACAAGAGGAATAGGCTGTTTGAAACCATAGATAACAGCACATTCCCATCATTTGCCTGCTAACGTTTAATATGTAAATTCTGTGGAATGTGTTTACTGTGAGCCATGTAAATGCTCTGGGGATGATATTTACGTGGCAACAAATGTTTTCACTATACAAGGTAAGAAAACTATAAAACACTCTCTTTGTAGTTTCCTAAAGCCTGAGCGGATGTCTTGACATGTCTTGTTTTGCCCAACCCACAATCCAAAATTCGATGTTATTCAGTTTATCGTATGTATAACAGAGACAAAACTGGATTATTTTTAACACATTTTTATTAGATCTTATTATCTATTACCCAAATAATGTGTTTATCAAAGACAACAATCATTTAGGACAGAACTTAATTTATGGGGTTTTTTTATGCTGCAGTTGCATTACAAAGTTGGAAAAAGCTAAAATACAAAATGTCAATGACTGTGTTATTATACAAACATAAATACCAGAAATATACAAAATATGAAATATACAAAATATGATATGAGTCATGTCTAAGATTAGTGGAGGAATGTAACTAAATACATTTACTCAAGTACTGTAATTAAGTAAAATGACGAGATTGAGTATTCCCATGTTATGCTACTTATGCTACTAAAAATGATGATGATGAATGGATGAATCAGTATTGATGGTAATTAGGAAATTGAAGCGATGAGTTTCTCAGAACGTGCTTAATATATAAATACAAATTAGCCCTAGATTTACCAGTTGCAATAAGAATGCAATCATTCACATTAGTAAATCTAATCCAAAAAAGTAATATATATTAATCAGAAATGTACTTGCATAATCACTACTTTTATACATGGTATATTATTTGTATTCAAAATACTATAAACATTTGAACATCCCCTGGTATATCATTGTCCACCTTCCTGACTAGCAAGTATATTGTGCATCAAAATGAATGTTTTGTTTGTTGTTGTTGAATATTTATGATGTATCTTTTCTAATCTATAGATTTTCTTGTCTATGCACTAATACACCAATACAAAGTGTAATATATATTTATATATATATATAATACGTTTTGTATAGTAATGCTACAGGTCGGCGTTGTTACTGTTACTTAGGTAAAGGATATTTCATAAAGTGTTATTTCCCTCCAGATGTCTTCGTTTTATTGTGGGGAAATATTCCTTAGAAGGTCACTTCCGGTAGGGCGGAACGTTTCTACATTGTTACACAGAGTTCCGTTTCTAGCATTTTCTACACACGGACGACAAGTGCAGGAGCACCGCGGAGGGCCAGCAGCTGCCAGAGGCTTCTAGAAACAACGTGCACCGGGACAGTCACCGGCAACAAATCCGCCATCCGCACACAGCTCTACGTTAAATATTTCGGGAAAAAAATGGCTAAATGGGGAGAAGGAGACCCTCGTTGGATCGTAGAAGAGAGAGCCGACGCGACTAATGTCAACAACTGGCACTGGTGAGAAATCACGAAAGGACACTATGCTAACTAGCCTGCTAATGCTAATGTAACACATTGACATACTATTTATGGCTATATCTGTTATTTTTAGATGTTGCTCCTATGTGCTGATGAACAACTACCGTCTATATTTTCGTAGATAGCTCTGAGGTTTAAATGTAGACTTTTATTAAAGTAAATGATCACATTTTACAGGGTTTTTTGATCGAGCTCTCGTTTTGAAGTTAGCTTCCCTTGCAGCTAGCTACTGTAGCTTTAATGTATGTATGGAGGTTTTAGCCGTTAACAACAGAATGGTTACGCCACACGTGTTCCGGTGTAATAACGAGCCGTGTAGTGTAATCGTGTGTTGTTACACCGCTATAGGACATGTAAGGTACATTATATCTTAAAAGTTGCAGCAAATCGATATCTTGTTTTTTTTTTATGAATCGAGATTTTTGTGATCTCTTGTTGTGAGCACAAATTAGCAGCAGTGTAAAAGTGGCATTAAGTATTCATTCATCACATTTCCTACAGACTGAATACTTACCAAACTGTATGCTGTTTTATAGAGTTTTCTCCATGGTTTCCTAACCCAATTAATATCCATGGTAACATCAATCAGTTAAGGAATGTTGAAATCTTTAACGTAAATATCAGAAAAAAGTGTTCATTCTAGATTTGAGTGTGTATTGATTAGACTAACAATTATTTTCATTAGATGACATACCGTTTCTCACAGACAATTAATTGAAACGCCTTTATTTTATAATAGCGAATGCCCTGTCCTCTTTCTGTTAGTTATTTATATGTCTGTTTTTTTCAATGCAAAGGCCTAGATAATCAGTTAAATGTGATTCCTAACAGAGTTAGTTTGAATGTAATGTAATGTAATTTGACTTCAAGTGCTTTGTAAAGATGCAATAGTTGTTGATAATTCATCACACTGCTGTATTTAGAGTTAAATGTCAATGAATTGTAAGGTGGAATCTACAATATGTTGGTTGTAAAGATACTAAATCCATCTAGATAATGTCAATGGTGAACAAATTGACCAATTTAATTTAGTGTAAAGCAATACATCTTAAGAAAATAAGCAAAGTATCCAAAAACATTAAACAATATGGAAATGAAGCACAGTAAAGATCACATTGCAAATGCTATGCTATGTGAATATTATAGAGGAAGACAATTAAAATCGTGGGTATATTTACCTTTTTGGATGTGTTCACTTTGCAGGACTGAACGAGATGCAACAAACTGGTCGTCAGACAAATTAAAATCCCTCCTCCTCGGGTTGATCGTGGAGAACGAGGAGGGGAGCTGTGAGGTGACAGAAGTCGCCAAGGTGGAAGGAGAGGCCTCCATTAACAACCGTAAAGGGAAACTCATTTTCTTTTATGAATGGAACCTGAAAGCTACTTGGACTGGTGAGTAGGAGACTGAAGCAACTGTTGCTGTTGTTTTGCGGTGAAATATATTAGCATAAAATGGATTGCTGGATGAATACACAGGAAATAACTAGGCGTGCATAAAGCAGTGATCATTTTCGGTGTAGTTTTGACCACTTTCTCATTTTGGCAGGTAAATGCTTCTTAAAATAGAAACCACAGCTAGTAGAGGACAGTAACAGTTGATCAAAAAGAAGTGTTCCTCTGTTGTTATTTTTAAAGAAAGCTGAATAAAGAGGCTTCAAGTTCAATTTGACAACTGTATTCTCTTTATTTCCCCAGGAGTGTCAAAAGCAGGAGTCAAGTATACAGGATCCATTGATGTCCCAAACCTTTCGGACGAGAACGACATGGAGGATCTGGATGTAAGTTTCACCAAAGAGTTTGTGTGTAGTGTTTTCAACCGACTGCATGTTGTAGGAACAGCGTTGTGAAATCCCACCTTTTGATATTTGTGCAGATCTCAGTGTCGTTGAATAAAGATGAACCTGAAACACCCCTCACCATGCTGATGAGGACAAAAGGAGCTGACAATATCCGCCAGGTCCTGGGAAGCTACGTTGGTTACTTGAAAACAGGTGAGTGAAACCATTATGTAATTTTAAAGGAATACAGTGATGGTAATTCAAACAAAATGGTTCACTCACCACACAAACTGAAACACAGGATCACTAATCTACAACGTTGGACTTTAAAAAAAAATTAAGGCTATTCAAAAGTATTAAACGGCATTTTCCAAGGTATTGCATTTTGTAGCTTGTTTTCAATAAGTATATCAATTGTCCAAAGAGGTTGTATTCTAAAGTCTGCCTGAATGTAATCATTGCGTAGGTGTGATTCTGTGTAGTTTAAACAACATCGTTATGGGGAAATGCAAGTTTGCGTCCAAATGGTTGGAAGATGAGGAGGAAGGACAATCAATACTGTATATAGTAAATGTGAGGTAAAGTGTGTCGCCAATGTAACCGGTTAGAACTCGAAGTGGCGATGAGGTCTTGAAATGTATGGAAAGGGTCTTAAAAAAGGTCTTAAAAGGTATTACATTTGACTTCAGGATTCCTGCATATACCCTATATTAACAACCTTAGTGTCTGCATTTTCTCTGAACATTTCTCTGCATTTTCTGCCTTAATGACCGTTACACGCCTTCATAGTTTTTAGTCTCATTAATATTCACATCTTTGGGGTATTCACAATGTTTACCTTTAATTTTATATATTTTAACAGAGTTTTTCATAGGTCATTTTTAACATTTGGGTTAACAAAGATACGTGTAAAAACAGAATAAAAAATGGTTGTGTAGAAAATGTTAATATGAGACAAGTTTTTAGATATAAGTATTTTGTACTGATTATTTAAACTGAAATACTTTTTCTTTGATGATTTAAAAAAAAAAAGGTTTAAGCTGATTTTGTTTCATTTTTTTTTATTTCAGAGTTCACACAGGGCATGATCCTGCCTACAGCCAACGGTATGGCCAAGACCACAACATCGCAGTCCAAAGCCAAGCTGAATAAAACTCAGGTACGTAAATTACAAAAGATCCTCAGCCACATCTTACATTATCCCACACAGCTCCTGTCCCTAAATTATTTACTGTTAGTTATACACCATCGCAGCACTGATCCTCCCTCATCACACTTTCTTCATTCTTGTTGTGGAACAGATTTCCTCCTCAGGCAGCACAGTTGCTCCGATCAACACCGGCGTCAAGATCCCCACCTGCAAGTTCAGCATGAGGGAAAAGTTCCTCACCTCCCCGGCTGATCTCTACAGGGTCTTCCTCAACCAGGATGTAAGCTTCCTCTCCATATCTGACTCTGAGTGAACATTCATCTCACAGATGGTTCGAAGAATAAGCCAGCAAATGCACATTTAGATTGAAGTGTTTATCTCTCGTCAATCTGCAGATGGTTCAGGCGTTCACACACGCTCCAGCGTCAGTGGACGGAGAGAAAGGCGGAAAGTTTCGTCTGCTAGATGGAAATGTTTTCGGTGAATTCACAGATCTGGTAAGACAACCTTTGAACCAAGCTAAGCATTAAATAATAATCAATACATACTACGTTTGTGTGAACAGCTAGTAAAATGAACAACGTCTCAGTATTTTCTTTATTGCTGTGGGTATAAAGGAATTCTGTAAAAAAATGTCTTGCAATTGCATTTCTAGTACCAATTTAAAGAGTGGGTTTTTGCTTGAATTTTACTTTTAGTAAATGTGCAATTTGTTGTCCTCTATTTTACCCTTTAATATTAACAATGAATCCTTTCCACCAGGTTCCTGATGAGAAAATAGTTATGAAGTGGAGGTATAACAACTGGCCTGCTGGTACGTTCATTTTCATTTATATTCTAAGAGCCGATTTGACACAAATGTTTTTGTCTTACATTAGAAATGATTGTGTATAAAAGTATAAACTGTATCTACTCAAACACACCATATGTTTTATATGTCATTATATTTGGGGAAACAATTTAGCTAGTACAAATTAGTCGATTACCTTTCTTTAAATATAGTTTTCAGCTTTCTTTTATTACACACAACTACAAATGTAAAATATTCAGCTTCTTTCAGTATAAAAAACATCATCATGTTATTATGAGGTGCATCATGATCATTTAAGTCACACGTGTCAAACTCAAGGCCCGGGGGCCAAATCAGGCCCTTGGTGGATTTAATTTCGGCCCGCAGGATAATTTCTAATTACTAATAGATCTGGCCCGCACACCTTCACTCAATCCTGAGGGTTTCCTCAGCTCAGAGCCTGACCCCAAACATTGATGAACTTGCACCCAAGATGAGATGCCAAGTATCTGGCTTAGTGTGCATCACAGAGCAGCAACCTGAGTTTCAATGGATGTTTCCTTCTTTTTTTTCTTGCGACAACAGGGCATGTTTGTTTTTAGTTTTTTTGTTGGCCTGTGGAAAAATGTAATCATAAGAAATGACTGAGGAAAATCTGCAGATAGAGCCATAAGAAATTAATGCAACTGATTATTTAATGTTTTTATAGGCAATAATTTAAGCTTTGTTAGTTCCAGGTTTAATATGCAATAAGTTCATTTCAATACGTTCTGCATTAAACATTGAACCAGTCCGGCCCTCGACTAGTACCGATTTTTTAATTTTGGCCCACTGTGTATTTGAGTTTGACACCCCTGATTTAAGTAAACTCATAATCAACAGTTCCTAACGAACAAAGTACTTAAACTCTGCAGGTAAGAAATTGACTGCAGAATCTTTGAATCAGGACTATTATTTGGGAGGAAAAATAGAAATGTGTTGCATTTTGGGGCTCTAAAAAGTAACGGGTGTTTTTGCCCCACAGAGCATTACTCTACGATCTCCATGACGTTCAAGGACCGCACCAGCGAGACGGAGCTGAAGGTGGACTGTCGAGGCGTCCCCGACAACGAGGAGGACCGCACGAAAGAGGGCTGGAAGAGATACTACTTTGAAGCTATTAAACAGACTTTTGGCTTCGGATCTCGACTCTACTGAAGACGTTTCAACTAGTCTACGTTTTTTCTCCTCAATTTTGAAATTTTTAAAACTTCTTGTCCTGTGATCTCTCTGGCACAAGATGTCCCATTGTAAACTCTGAAGCACGAGTTAAAGAGAAGAGATAATGAGGTGAGGCCGTTCTGTCACTCGTCTGTGTAAATGTTTTAATTTCTTTCAACGTATTTAAGTCTAGATTTCTCCCGGTCAGTGTTTGGGTCAGTTCAAAGGAGAGGGATTCATGGACTGTGCCTTGGAGACTCTGGATTGAATAAAGCAAAAATATTAATCTATTGAACCACTAATGGAAATTGGCCTCCACGTCTATAAATATGTAATTACTGCAAGACTGAAAATAAATGTTTGGATTTTCTTTTACTTGAAAAAAAATAAATGCTTTTTTTAATACATATTTTACTCTTCAAGTGTAACTGTAGTGAAGATGCATGTTTTATTTAAGACAGACGGAGGAATGACTACTGGATATGAATTTACTGAAATGTGTCACTGAGCTAAGCAGAACTTTACCTTTCTGGTATTTCATTGAAAAGTCATCACAGGATCAACTGGGAGCTTCAGCAGAGACGTCAGCGCAAATCATTTAAAGTATTGGGAAATGAAATCAGGTTCCTCTCTTCACGCAGCTAGCTAGCATAGCAACTCAAGAGAGAAGTATTGCTGTATTTGGCTTAAAAAATGTCAATTTCCAGTAAAGTTTTCAGAACGAAGTGCGTCTATTTATTCATCATTTCACCTCACGATGTATAACGATTAGTTTCTTGGAATAAACCAATCTCTGTATGCTCTTGATTTGTTTTTATTTAACTTTCACATTAAATCACAGAAGTTATTTATTTACAATTTGACTTCACATGCAAAGATACGGAGCCCCAAGGAAACGTTCATGTGAGCAAGAAACCATTTGTGTGAGCCTTATGGGCTTGCTCTCTTTAAAACGTTAATTTACAAGTGCTTTAAAAGTTAAACGCTCACAGTAGGAACCATGAAGGTCACTGTTTAGCAAAATAAGCACTTCAGTTTTAAAGGCTGTGACATAAAATGGTAAGGGAAACTGGGATTTAAAGCACAGTCATATAGCGTAACACCATGTTAATTAAACTTATAAACAAAGCAAATTGCATGAAAAACATAGGATTTAAAAGTCTGATATTTAAATGGCATACTACATTCATTATACCTTAATGTTAACTTACACAGAGCATTCAACTTCTTCCTGTCCTCCTAGCATATCTGCTACAAACAAAAAGGGAACAGGCTTCATTACAAAACACCATAAATATAGATATATATTTTTTCAAAAATAAAACAAAAGGAACCCCAAACTACATTAGCAGCGAAAGGTCTAAACTTAAGTATTAACCAACTTAAATGTTTTCCCCCTTAAACTGAAAAGAAAATTAGATTTTGTTCCATCGTTATTACCCACACGTTAACCTGGACAAGCAACGTTTAAATAAAACTAAACATTTAAATAAAAGGAACATGATGAAAGGATGCTGGAAGTTGACAGCACCTTCCTCTGGTTGTTCGCTCAAAGGCAGATGTAAAGCTCTGACTCCTGCAGGAAGAAAGAGACAAATCTTTTTAACACAAATCGGACAAAATCAAATGGGTTAACACTCTGGATCTGTTTTGTTTTATAGCAAGAATAAACTCTTTTAGTCCATAGAACAACATAACTTTTTCTTCTGATTGCAAAGGACATTTTTACCAAAGCTTTTTTTCTGGAGTGTAATGAACATTTCCTCCTCATGGGGCCGCTATTGTGACATATAGCTTTATAGTCTTTTTGGCACTCGACAGTACACCAAGACCTGCCATATGTCAAGCAAAGGGAGATCATCATCAGTCATTTGTTTGTACAGTAAGAAGCATATACGTACACTGGAGCTGGAGTCGTTGTCCAGTGAGCCCAGGTTTCGCCGTGGCGCCATTTCTACCACTTCAGGCGGTTTTTGAACCTGAATTTCATGCATTTTTGACCTGGGAAGAATATCATGAAAAATATAAATGAGAGCTGAAGCATTTTGTCAACTAACCAGATGGCCAATAAACAGAACAATTTATTCTTTCAATAATTATTCAAGCAAAAAATTAATATTGCAGCGCTAATAAAGAAATAATAAAGTTTAACTTGTTTACCTTTTGTAATTTAGTTCCAATATAGTTTCAATATTCAATATTTATAAACACAAGAAAATAATTCACTCAATAGAAAATATTTAATAAAAATAATAATTATTATTAAATGTTACTACTTTATTTTTACGCGCAATATTTCATTGTTACTCAACCTTCTTTTAATGCTTCTAAAAGTCCTAATAAAGTACACTTCCTTTAAAAGGACTAAATGCAGAAACACTAGCTATGCCAAAAGGACATGAGGTCACACGTTTCACCACCCAAACAGTCTGTGATGTTTGAAGTTAAGAATTATAACGTCTGATAATAATAACTCCAGTCTCCACCTGTACAGCGGCCACAGGCTCAGACCTCTGGCGTCTTTCTGTCCGGGAGACGAGGGTCGCTCCACCAGATCTCTGAGGAAGTGGAAGAGCTTCTCCGACTCTATGCACTGCTTCCTACACACAAACATGATCAATTCAATATTCTCATATACACCATTCTCAGTTGATATCTTAGTACAATTTAAGAAGATTAAACACAGATGTTTTCCTTTGTTTTAAGTCCAAAAGTGTGTAGTTTAATATTGACCTGATATTTGTGGAGTTGTGGTTTACTCACATGTGAGCGACAGACACGACGCCGCTGTTCTTGGACTGAGTGATCAGACAGATTTTGGTCAGCAGAGACTTCAGGAACATTTCCAGCGCTCGAGCTGATCTCTGACATTCAGGACTTTAAAAACATCAACACATTTCTACATACAATTAAAATACATTCTCAAAATATTGAAGTGACTGTTATTTTGTACATATTAATTGCTGTGTTTTTATTATGTAGGTCTTAATGTGTGCACATGTCAACATGTGTCTTTGACTGTGTATATATATTATTTGCACACATGTTTTTATATTTTTAATATACATTTGTTTTTATATTCGGGATTGTGGGAAACGGTATTTCGATCTCTCTGTCTGTCCACACAAACTGGAAGATTGACAATAAAGTTGGCTTTGTAGACAGTATTTATAGCCTAAAACAGATTGAATCATCTGCAAGAATATTTTTAGTATTCTTAATTTACACATTTTGATTTAGTCTTCATTCAACAATATAACAAATATAACTAGAAAGTAAAGCTGCCAAACAATGTAGTAATCTTAAGTAAAGCATTACATTGAAATATTCAAGAACAAGTACCTTAAAGTTGTACTTAAGTACAATACTTGAGTACTTAATTACTTCACACCACTGTTAGTCAAAAGGTTTTGCATGCCATGTGTCCGTAAACCCTAAAGAATAAGTTAAAGGAAAACAGATTAGTGGAAATAAAGTGATGCATAATAATACATACTCACAGCTAATCCACCACATCTGAAAGTGTAAAAAGATACAGATTAACACAGGAACTGCCATCGCAATCCTCCCCACCTCTGCGTCCTTCTGCATGATCTTCTTGATGCGACTCTGTGAGCAGAAACAAAGAACTTTAAGACACTTTCAGAGAAATTATATAAACCCCTGTTTCCTGTATCTGAGGTTGTACATCAGACAGCATGTAAAGCAGAACTTAATTCAGCATTCAGAATGTTTTATTTGCTAGCATGTGACACTTTTGATGTCACGGAAATCTGCACCTGTGTTAACATAACATAAAATACATATATATCAACTAATATTCAATATACCCAAGGAAAAACAACAGAAAACACAAGGAGAGAAAAATATGGAGCAATTTCTGTTTCTGATTAAAGTTATTTAGTTATCTGAAAGTGTTATAGTAAAGCAACAACATCGCTTATACTACTTCCTTTACTTTTACTTTCATTAGCCTCTCAATTCATTTGCTATTTTATACAGGTTAAATGTGCCATTTTGTGTTGTCTAAACAATACCTGAAAATAACTTGTACATCAATTACTCCATCATATTATTGTTCTTATGAAGGCTTAAGATACATACATTGTTTACTAAGCTTCTGTCTTGTGAATAATCCAAATTTCACTCGGGTAATATTGAACATGACAATTGACAGTCTTAGTGTTTACGACGTTTAACCCAGATTTCCGGCATCACCTGAACGTTGCGCCCAGCACTTCATGCTACATGAACGCGGCTAATCATTTTTATCTTTAACTTTTAACATCTTTAAACTCTAAAATAAAGTTTGTACTCACAGGAGGGAATCGTACATTATATCTTCTCTTCTGTCCGGGCATTTTACTCGCTTTAAACCGCGCAGTTCGGTCAAATTTTTCATGTTTTCACCGCAAACCGCCGCTGAGTCCATTTGTTTACCTTCAGCAGGAACTTACCTGAAAAACACGCGAACACCTGAGGTCAACCCCGCGTGACCCCGATAATGACGTCACGACCCCCGCGTTTTTTTCTCTTATACTGCGTTCACACCGGTTAGGTTATTCATTACATATTTATAAACAATGATTTAAAGGTAACATAACTACATAGTGTTTAAAGCCCATCAGATAATGTGAATTTAACGTTTTCTGAACTTTTTTCTTCTTCTGATATTTACGTTTAATTGAACCCTCTTTGCTTTTAGAGTAGCTAGTTTAACAGTTAGACTATTTACCAGAGCTAGAAGAAGCACTCAGATGAAAAATAGTCACTTTCTACCACAGGTTGCAGGAGCAAGACTGGAAAGAAATTAAATATTGCCTATCCTGTCCAAAGATCCAACTAATAAGCTTTGTATGTGGGTTTTAGTAGCATATTATGGTCTGAATCAGGAAATGGACTTTGCTGTTGAACGTGTGGGGAAAATATAGTAAGTGGAGCTTCAGGTGGTGTCTTGTTCATCATTTACACTTGACTTGGTGATTTCTCTTTATATGGACTTAATCTGAATAAGGGATGTATTTTAAATCGCTCCAAAGGAACTTAAAACAAATGCCTTTTATTCATTTGAGTACACTGTTTTGTTTCCAACGTGTCTTATTTGTCTATCTGCATGATTTGATCTCTCTAAATCCTGTAAGTATCTTACTCCTGGTTCAACTTTGTTTAGAAATCACATTATAAATAGCATTTAAATTGTATGACTGCCTTCTACCTATCTTATTTGACTGTACAAAGTCATGTTGAACTTTTAAGAACATCTTAACAACACGGTCTGCAATTATAAATCGATTATCTGCAGTATAGGACTCGGCCTAATGACTTCAAAGGTCAAAGATAACGTTAATCAGTCTTCATTTACCGAGGGTTTTTGTCACGATAAAGCTTCATACCCGGAGGACGACTTTATTTGATTTAAAATCTTTAAATCTGCTTTTCAATTTGGACAAGAGAAGATGTTGACAACACGTGTGCTGTTTGCAGTCTGTTTAGTAGCAGCATGTCGTGTAGATGGTGAGTGTTAAACTATATGAGCGTGAAAGGAAACACACAAAGTTTCTACTAAAAACAACTAATCTTTTACAAAGTGGATTTTAACCAGTTTATCTGCAGTTTATTCAACATGTATTTATACTTTTTCTTGTTTCTTGCAGGCTACACTTTAAAGGAAGAAGATGAACCTTTCCATCAGGTATTGTCTCCATCTTGTTATTTAACTCTGTATATTTACCTGTCTAAGTATACAAATCAATACTGAAAGTGAAATATGCGATGACAAAATTGTATTATTGTACTTAAAATCTCCAACTTACTAAATGAAATGAGTCACATGATGATATATGAGTTATCTTTATAGAGAACAAGTTTCTCAAAGGTGACAAATATATATATATATATATATATATAACAGAACATATTATTTATCTGCAGGAGGTTTTAGGAACAGATTTCCTCCGCCGGCCTCTTCATCCTCCCTTCATCTGTCCTGATATGACTCCATCTCCCAGCGTCCCCACCTCAGGTGAGGGTCCCCTGAGTTACTAAGTACTTTAACCCTAGTAATGTACTCTGGTTTGTCACTTCAATTGCATTTAACAACTATATCATATATTAAGATAAGACTGTATTGATACTTCTTTCACCAACATGTTTGAAAGGTCTTAAATATCTTAAATGTGAGTACAAAGAAGAAGTGGTTCAAACATGCTGACCACTTTTGATTTACAAATGTCTTTTGTAATCCTTTTATGATTCTTGAAACGTTTGTATGAGATCAAATGTGTGCAGATACAAAATGAAGGCATTTGAGAAATGTGGAATATTGTACTGAGATATTCTGCTTGAACATTGAGTGTGCCTTTTAATATCGCTGTAATATACCCTGTTCAAGGTTATCAGAGCTCTCAACCATGTGTATATGTTTTGAGTCTGACTGTTTGTATTGTTTTCTTTTCTTTCTAGTTGAATATGTCAAAGCTGCAGATGTCAAAGTCATCGCCGCACTGGGAGACTCTTTAACTGTCAGTGAAGTACTGCATTCAAAAAGTTACTGATGTCAAAGAACAAGAATCGCAATTAAAGTAAAAAAAGTCAAAGTAAACGTTATGCAGCCCATTTCAGAAAAATATAATAATATGATATCATTGTTGTCATATGTGTTGCCACTAATAAAAGAGGATTATTTAAGCAATAGCTCACGACAGGCCGTGGTATATGCTCATTATATCACAGCTAAGGGGCGTGGTTTGGCCCGACGTTTCGCGTCGGGCCAAAGTAAAGGATATCAAAATTGTACTTAGTGTAAATGTACTTACACTCACACTCACAGTTACAAACCACTGTTATTGTTATTAAATAATATTAGTAGTAATGAAGACTTCTCTGCTTTTAAAATATTGCCTGTATGTTTTTTTCTTGCAGACAGCTATTGGTGCCAATGGCTCTACGATTTTATCCATACCTTTTGAATTTCGCCACGTATCTTGGAGGTAAATCAGCGCCACGGCTCCAAATTAATACTCCGTAGGATATTATTTATAAAACATTAAAAATCTCAAACTATCCTCCGAATATCAGCTGTCTGTAAATCAGAGGATTTATAACAGTAGCCAGTTTTAAAAGGTGCTAATCGATTGATCGATGATTTATTTACCATTATCTTATCTCTCCAGTCACATTGTAAGTGCTGTTATGATTATGTATGTTTTATTGGTCTGATTCTATTAATTACAATCGTAATTGTAATGTGTCTCTTTCTGTTTTAGCATCGGAGGATATGGGACGTATCAAAATGTCATCACACTGGCCAGTAAGTAATTTAATGTCCAAAAAATAACCAAGAAGGCCTAACACTGTAAGAAAATATAATTCAGTGTTAATTAAATGTATAAATATATATTTAAAGTCCAGCCCAGTGTTAACTATACACATCTCAATCATAACAAAAGATTTAATGAAAATGAACTTCAAAACAAAACAAAAATCACCTACAAAAATTATTTTAACGCTGAACTTTGATAATTTGTGACTGAAATAACAGTGAAACTTAAACTTATGGATGACATGGCTTTGATCTATGGTAAAATCTTGGTAAAATATTTGAAGTATTAGTTGACAAAATCCACGGATCCTCGCTTCTTTACTCAGGTCTTTATTTATTTATTTGTAATGTTTGATTGTCTTATTGTCTAGATATTTTCAAACTGTTCAGCCCCGAGCTGCTGGGTCCGTCCCCGGTTTGGACGTTCCACAGTCAGCCGGCAACCGTCAACGAAACCGGGTTCAACTTCGCCGTCACCGGACACAACACGCTGTGAGACAAACACACTCTTTATTTATTTACTTAATTGTATTTATTTTTATTTATTATTTATTTACTTAATTGTATTTATTTATCTTTTACTTCTTTTTATTTATTTATTCATTTGTATTCATTTATTTACTTATTTGTATTTATTTATTTCAAAACACATTTCCTTCATGTAAGGAACATAAGGAAATGTGTTTTGAAATAATAAATAAAAATAAATACAATTAAGTAAAAAATAGAGATGTTTTTTTTAAATTATAATTAGGCATTTTTCCATCCAAATTATTATTATGGAGGCGTTTTGTTTTCATTGCTCTGGCTTCTTCACAATTTTTTAATTAAACTTGATTTTACATGTATATGTGTGCTTCTGTACGGTAACTGTAGGCTATGTGGAGCTTCAAACTATCAAGGGAATATTTTTGACATTTTGGGGGTGATTTATAAAAAAATAAAATACAATTGATAAGAAATAAGAAAAACAAAAAAAAGATAGGGAAATAGAATACAAAGAAAGCTACCACCAAATATATGTTTTAAATTATTATATTAAAATGAAAAGTGAGTGCACTCTCTATGAACACAAAGACAAGCCTTTATTGATTTTCAAACAGGAAATGTCGGTGTTGCAGCATCACAAGGACAGACATACGTTCAGATAAACAGAGAAAGAGAACTTAGTTAAGAAAATAAGTAAAAATAGAAAACTATACAAGAGCAGTTAAAGACCAAATCGCTGTCTAGTAACTTAAGAAAACACAAACCAGACTTGTATAAAATATGATGGAGTAAATTGTGAACTAAAGTACATCATTAAAACGAATAAAATATAATTATTTATCATGCAAATGTAGGAATCTTCAGTAAGGGTGTTTCTCAATCGCGAGTACGCTTGCTTGGTAGCACATGTCTGCCGAGCATCTTGCTTCAGAAGCGAGTCAAGAATACTTCCTGGCATTCGGAAAACGAAGTGTGGAACACGCTAGCAAGTGTGCAGGTGTGCGTCATATGAGAGGCCCCGCCTTACATCTTCCGCCACAGATTTGGTTGAAATTGGTCCGTGAGCAAAGCATTGTGGGGATTTTAAGACCGCGAAGTCTACTCATGTGCAGACTCGATATTTCTCCAAACGGAGTACGCCGGGCTCGGTAGATTTCCAAGTATACTGGAGATTGGAACAGTACTTCGGCGGCACTCGATGACGTAGTATGCTTGAAATAGTGGCTCTGAAGCAGCTTTACTCGCGATTGAGAAACACCCTGAGTGCCCTCTTAATGCCTTTAAAGGTAGGGTAGGTAAGAATGGAGAAACCAGCTCGAGTGTGCTAGAATTTGAAAGTACACAACCGGAACAAATCTGCCCCTTCCTTCAGACTTCCTTACAGAGCCCCTCCTCCAACACACACAAACGCGCACATGACCAATGAGGGCATGAGATAAGTTTGTGCACAGATGGAAGGCTGACAGTCAGGTAGGCCATCCAGTTATTTGCCCCGGGCCGAGGCAGATCATTGGACTTGCTTTTTACAGCGCTACGGCTTCCACAGATTAAATATTTGTATATATTTATTGTCAAAGCATTTAATGTATTCATTGCTATCGGGATGTTAAGAGCATTCCATGGAATATAACAAAAAGTGTTTCTGAAGTG